AGCTTGTGGGATTCCACACTGGCGTTTCAGCTCAAGTGTTTCTGGAGACATACGTCTCTCGGTGACTTTCGAACTCTCAGCTTTCATAGTGCTAAGGTGAAAATATTGAATGAGCCGATCGTATTCTTCGTCGATGTTATCGACAACGGCATCTTTCCAACGTCCTACCCAACGCTGCGAAATTGGAGCTCTTTCGGGGTCAGAGGAATGAGATTTGTTTTTATCACTGTGTTTAGCATTTTTGATACCCACGTATAGCTTGCTGGGCTCTGAACGTGGAGACTGGGTTTACTCACGGGTAACTTGCCAGGCTCTCCCAGAGTGGACATGGAGCTTATTTGTTGGGGGTGACTCCTAACCACCCCCATATACTTCCCTGTCACTTGATTGCAGGCTTTTGGCCGAATTGACTAATAGAATGCAATCCACATAAGCAAGAACACACCCACACACGTATGCATGAATACGCCTAGCAAATACGGAAAGTATGTGCCAAATCAATGCCGCAGAAACAGGAAGTCCATCCCCTGGATCCACCTGCATCTCCGAGAAGTAAAAGTCGCCTTTGGACCGCGATTAACCCCCTATCCGCCACCTATGGATGCGCCAAGTAGCCTCGCAACTAACCGGCCCGAGATAACTCATATGTGGGAGTTCCGTGGGAGGTTACTAAATACTCAATAAAATCAAAAAGGCGCCGGTAAGGTAGCGGTATGTTGGTGGTAAGCGGTGAGAGCGGAATAACCCACAAATTTCCAAGTTGTAGTAAAACGATAACATCAATAGCTGGAGGGTATTTCTCCAAAAGTGGCTAACAGAAATGGGTAACGCCACAGAAGCTGAATGAATTGGGATACGAATCTATGACCCATTCTCCACTCCTAGTGGATCACTCCTGACCTACAAAAAAACTTCCAGTGACCATGTCGCTGCTGAAAATATCCTCGAGAAACTCATTACTATCAGATACTTCAGAATTCTACCTTACTAGGGAAATAAACTTGTACCTTTTTAGAAAAAAAAGGGCATAAAACTCAATAGCTCTTATAATAAATAAATTTGCATATTACACCAGTTACAGCACTCATAGCACTTCAAAGCTCTCACTCAGAGCCTGCCATCTTTTTTGCAATCCAGTTTTGGCCCCGTTTCTGGTATATACTATTAAACAACCCACACGAACCAAACTGTTACCTGTTGTGTCACTGTTGTGAATTCAAAACAGACTAAACAAGGCGTTTGCAAACATTTTAAAGACTAATTACCAATGTGTGGAATAAAAATCTCGCGATATTCGCATAGCAATGCTGACAGTGATTCACCCAGAACCTCTGCACAGAGAGTAAGCATCGACAAAGTCTGAAGAATCAATTTTGCAAAATATTAATTGAAGAAAATATTGAGCTAGGAAGACCTTCTGACGAATATGTTGGCTTCCACTGAACAGATGATTGCCAACACAATTCATGAACACTTGAACTTTCGAATCGTTAATTTTCGAACCCTGAAGAAACAACTGGCAAGGTAAAGAAACTAAGGCCCAGAAAAAGGAACGAAAAGCACCAACAACAAAACACCGCCTCTGAAGTTTTTCGATTGCACTTACGGCCATGTCCACGGCTCCACATGACACTTGATCTGTCATTCCAATGAGAACCTTGAATGCATAGAAAGAATAGTAGTATATACTAATAATCACTTCAATGATAATAACTCCCAACAAAGAACCGTTCGGAATATTTTAGGAAAGATCTGTTTCTGAAAATACCTCAACCAAGCCTTGCAAGAATCTGCTCATATTCGTTAAAACGACAGAATCTGGATAATTTTCGATGAAGTACATTAGACCACTCGCTCCTCCCAATCTCACAAACCATGAAGATGCATAACAAAGAGAGCTCACGCTTTCTATCAAATAGCGAATAAATGGTATCCGAGGCATCTGAACTAATCAATTGCTACATATACACGTATATATATATATATGTATATATGTATACATGTATATGCATATACATACAAGCGTATATGTATATACACATATATATACGCATGTATACATGAATAAGCATATATATATATATATATATATATATATGAATGTACAGTGCAATTACAACGGGATAAAACTCACCACATCTAAATCTGCTATAACAACTCTGCATACGTCATTTATATGGCGTAGCCCTACAATGGCTGACTGACAGAAGTCCTTGGTTGAGTCCGAAAGTGCTGTTACAATAGCATCCACCAAAACACTACCGTCCATACATTGAGCTGGATGCTCCACGGACATAAGAGCCGCCCTACCTAAAGCTTTCGTTTCTGTTCGTTTTTGATGTGTCAAACGATTACGTCTCTAGTCAGTTTGCAAAAAATTTTCCCATAACATGTATTTGTATCAGTTTTCAGTGCATTTGCTCTATTATAGACAGAATTTCTACTGCTGGTACCCGTAAATTACCTCGAAAAGTGAATTTATTGAAGTATATATCTCGTTACGGGTCGAATGAAATACCTCCGTAAACAAATCGAGTTTAGGAAAGAAAACCATCAAAGTTATAAGTCCCATTTAAGAATATATTAATGTAGATAGTTCCAAGATTGGAAGTAAATTACGGCCCTTACCAGTAAATTCCAGCAAGGCCTGCAGTGTCAGGTAACGTATTGTGGTATTAAAAAACTTGATGTATTTACTCCGCAAATCCTTACCAACAATCCCACCTTAAAGAAACGAATGTTGTGACTTTGAGGAACGCTTAAACGAATAAAAGAATGACTAACAAAACAAAATCATTAGAGCATCCGAATGAACAGAGCGGTCACCATCGCGAACACAACGAAAAACGGTGCAATCATCAGGAGCATTGTCCAATTGCTACAAAAACAATATAGAATTTTCTAGCTTCTTTGTATTATTACACTAGCTTTTACATGAACGAATTATCAAATAAACAAACCTTGAACTGTTCCCTGAAACAATCCTTCAAACATATTTCCCAGTCTCCCGTGAAATCAATAGGGGCGAAGCTTGTTAGCAGAAGAGATCGAGCAAGCTGAAATATATCTATAAAAAGACTACAGAAACAGCGCATATCCAAAAAAATGGAATACTTTATTCAAAATTTCACCTCCATAGCATATAGGCGTACTTGCGGTGAATAGTGCGAATGAGAAGGATCAAAACTGAAAACAGTTCAGCAACATAAAGCGTTATTTGGTCGATTATCTCCTTTAATTATTTATGACAACTTTTTCATTTACTCATTTATTTATTACATGACCCGTCATCACATCTACAATGCGGATCCCAGTACATCTTGCATTCATTTCGTTTTCCTCGCACTCGCCATCCACAGTGGTCCTCGAACATCACTAACCACTGCCCTACCCCGCCCCATCCATAACGACTACTTACAACAACAAATTGTTAAACAAAATAAATATAACTTCATACTATATACAAACACTAGACAATTTCTCCAAAAGCTGTAGGGATTACCGCATCTGTTTCAGAGCTGTACGGACAATCTCGCTCAACGCTAGATCACCAAATATGGTTGGAAAAAATGCTTCCGATGTATTTGGCCGGTCAAACGCAATGCGAACTGTGTATGAACGTAAGTCACCCTTCGGATGTGACTTCAAATTCTAAAAGTAAAAAATCAACCTTTCATCCGCAACATACAGGATCGGGATTTTTTTGCTTAGACAAACTTTACTTGACACTTGACACTTGAATGTCCCGTCTTCACGGGTTGTGAAATCACCATTTATCGGAGATTTGCTGGTTAAGCCATTGTGGTTCCCTGGAATCCCGAGGCCACGCCAAAGTCCGCCCTAGATCTTCACCACCACAGGCATTCGCAGCCTTTGTGGATCAAAGTGAGATCTGCCACCAAGCGACTTTCATACCACGACGGTGGTGGATCCGGATATTGGCCTACTCTTATCTGGGCTTTCTGATGGAAACGCCGGCAGAGGTGGACGAATCTCCCGTTGTACACCGCAGTCCGACACCGAGGAAGACATCCCAGCCACGGTGAGACGGTAAACCGTTGGGAGGGACAAACTTCACAAGGCGTACAAATATACAACTGAGAGATAGGTGGAATAAAAGACCCCCATTGTGTGGTAGTGAACGCGTTAACCCCTGAAAAGGACAATATGGCGTTCGTTCCCTGCCGCAGATATCTGCGATCCGGAGTTTTGCAAATACCTCCCCATCATTATAGCACACAAATAGTTAAAGGGGAAATATATGTGGTGATGAAGTAAAAAGATACCGGGGGGTCTGCGAACATATTGCGATTGGCTCCACCAAACTTTCCAAGGACACGAACTGCAGTTGCAACCGAAAGCGGATCTCCAGATTTTCCAACAACCCTGTACAAACCTTAAAAGAAGAATTCCTACTCAGACAATTGTTACCATCGAATATTCTTCAGCTCATATTTCATATTCAAAAGCTTTACTATGATCAACTGACTCGTTTGCTGTAACCATTATTTAGCAAGGACGTGCGTGGCGCAGTGACAGGAACCGTCCTGCAGTAGACACGGGATCGATTCCCGTCCTCAGGTTCACCTGACTATGCATACCTCTGGGTCGACAAATTGGTACCAGATTTGCCTTAGGAAGATAGCAGTACTGGCTCGATACAATGGCAGGCCACCGTGAGTCATCGTGAAGGCCAATTATGGATTCAATCACTTCAAGGATACTTAACAAAGTCGAATACATGCTGCATCCCTCAGGGATTGATCACCGAAAGCATTATCCTTTTTACTATTTAGCAAAGAAGAACAGAAAAACGAAACCACCTTGCATCATCCCTCCGCGAACTGGAGAGAAATTGTCGAAAAGGAAATCGGGTTGTAGGTTATCAACGCAAAGTTCAAGAGTGCGAAGCCCTTAAAGAAAAAAAAGCTGGAAACAAATGCACCATAGCTTTCAAAAAGTGAGCCGGATGAAAATGCCTGACTTCATATAGTACAACATTACAAACCTTGTTGCACAAGATTCGGTCCGCCATTAAGTGCGCAAACAAGCGGTTCCATAAGCAACGGTAGGTGTGGAAGTAATGTCGACAATCTCACCGGTACGGTTAAACACAGTTCAACAAAGAGCTCTCGCATCATCTGTCGATGATCACACCACTGAAAAGACTATACAGACCTATAACGAAATTCTTCAAATAGTAACACATCTAACAATTGCAATGACAAAACACCTGAAGTTTATTGAAGAACAACATCAAATCCGGTAGCAAAGGTAGAAACTGTGAATAGAGAATATCATGAAGACCACCACCAATTGATCTGAATAGAGCACGAAGAAGCATGAAGTAGTTGATGGGATCTCGTGCACATAATGCGTACTCCATGGACTTACGAATAAGTTCCGGCAAATAAGGCTGAAAATTGGTTATACATGGGAAAACGAACAAACCGAAAATATGTGAGAAGACGAACCTTAAGCATAATTTCTCCGTCAGGACTCGCCGAATTCTGACAACCAATGGCGGAGAAAATAATCTTGAATAATTTCACGTATAGTGCTGAGACGTCATTCATCACTAAACTATGGTTTATAAAACACAGCCACTTCGTGTGAAACCTGACAAAGTCACATAAAAGGATCACCTGCCAATGAAGGCAAGCGATCCATTAAATACTTCACGATAATGCAGCCGAATCTGAACGAAACATCTGCGCGAACAAGAAATGCGTTGCAAGCCAACTGCAGAGGAAGGTTCCTACAAGGAGACAATGCAAAAGCAAATACTGTGGTACCTAACTTAACTTCTGCCACCGAAACACTTCGTAATACTAGAAAACTTGCATTATCACAACATCTTGTTTATTTCACGATTCTACCTGGATTAACCTATTCGTCAGAAATCTGGTCGCTACGTAGGTAGGATGAAAGACTAAGCGTTATAGACGACACAGTCGAAAGGAAGATGCTAGGAATATCACCTGTTACACAAGTGAGAGGAGAGATTCAAAGTTCTGACCTACATCACTGATTATAAATCAGCAACGCCTTTCTACACACCAAACAATCGAAAACAAGCGGGTCGTGCACGTAATTCGTCTGATTGACAACAGATGGACAAGAGCCGCTAATGAATGGATTCGAAGAGAGGTCAAATGCACAGCAGCAGGACCACCGACCAAATGCTCGGAGTTCTTTACGAAAATGCTAGAAGAATGGTGATCGAGCCCCTCGAGTGAGCAGATCCCAAGTGGTCATTCACGTTAGGGACAAATGAAAAATTTCCTGGTGCCCGCTGGAGCTTCTCAACGATCAACAGGACTAAAGATAATATGGTTGATCACAACTAAACTTAACGAAAGTGTATTCCCCATACAATGTATATCCATTTCACCTATATCACCTGTCGACCCGTTGTTCGTCGAGTGACTCGAGCGAAGACCAGCAAATTTTCTATTTTTCCTCTGTCACGTGCAAGAGTAGCCCAGTGGGTTTTACTCGCTCTAGAGACTCGTCGAGCATCACATCTTTCTTCAAGACTCTTTGTGAAGAACTCTGACCATAAGGCCGGTGGTCTTGCTGCTGTGCGTTTGACATCCCAAGGAATTCAGTCATTAATGGCTCTTGTCCACCCGTTGTCGTTCATATGCATTTCGTGTCCGGCCCACCTTATCTTCGATGTTTGGCGTACAGAACGACATTGTTGATTCTTGATCGTTGACGCAGGACGGGGCTTCTCATCCCTTCCCTCACTTGTGTGAAACTGGATGCTCCTAGCAACGTCGTTTCGACTGATCGTCCAATAACTCTGAATTATCCTTCATCCTGGCTACGCACTTACGCAACGACCACGCTTCTGACGCAAACGTTAAGGCAGGAAGTACGATGAATATAGAAAGCCTAAAACTACTACTTACTTCGCCATGCGTACCACAAAGAAGTCCATGTACTTTGTAAAAATTTCGCCAAACACATCCAAATTAAGCATTGTGAACTGAAACGTTAAACATTTCAATGGTTCAAAACAGAGTAATAATGATAAAACCACAACTAACCAATGACGCTAAAGCATCTAATGCGTCCTTTTCTTCTTTTGATCTTGTACCACCAGGAACACTGAAAGGTACCACTATTCAAAATAAATTCAAAAACTATTTCTGAGGAATACACGTTCACCTAATCGAAATTTGCGCTCTTGATGGAGGCTGTGGGAAAGGAATCATATAGACATCCAGACACTGAATGGAATACTTGAACATTCGCTCAAAAATATCGCGTTCCCGAACCAATGGAGGCGATTCTGGAAATGCTCTTCAAAATTGAATCTTACCAAATGATCCGCCACTTGCTAACTTCGCATATTTTACTACTTATTTGTGACTCCCATGATAGTTAGCCAAAACAAGGAAGTTTAACGCCTAATAACGAGCACCACTATGTTTACTGTCAGAATAAAAAAGGATAAAGTTCTCGGATTTGATCAATCCATGAGAGATGCGCCGTGCATTCGACTTCATTAAGTATCGATGGAGGTGATTGAATGCATATCTGACCTATACAATGACTAGCTGTGGCCTACCGATGTATCGAGTCAGCGCAGCTATCATTCTAGACAAATTTGGCACCAATTTGCCGACTCCGGAGAGATGGAGGGCTTGGCTAGCCTGGGGCGCGCGATCGATCCCATGCGTACTGCAGCAGGGCGCCTCTGACCACTGTGTTACACGCGCCACTCACAACACCAGTTAAAACTCGCTGACTTGTAAACTTTGTTTATTGCGATTTAAACTGTAAATAAACCTCAGGCAAAGGTTAAAACTTTAGAACTTTAAATTTTTAGCTCACGTGAACTTCGGTTTGATCCCGATAGTGTAGATGTTCCCATTTTGCAAGCTAAGAGAAGGAATTTCACGATCGTTCGAGCCTCAACCAAAGGAATTGGTGGTGCATTCATAGTGTACATCTGCGTCAATATTGAACCAGGACTGGACTGTTTTTGAACTGCACTTTCCTTTGGCAACGGCATTGAAGGAGATGGCGGGTGAAGAGCATCTATAAAATGCCCTCGGTAAAGAAACAAAGGATGTTTGAATGCCCAGGCCCAACTGTAAAAGAAAATTCTCAAAGCAGCCGCAAAGTCGAGTTTTCCATTAATTCAACACCTCATGAACTCCAAACCTGTGGGACCAATTTCGATCTCCGGAGCGGTATCAATCGAACACCGACGAACTTCTTCCCTAATCACCTCGTCAGAAAGCTTATCATAATCAGTAGTATCAGGTCTGGAATGTACCATAGTTTTCGGAAATACGTACGTATCCAGTACAAAATTCAACAGTACTGCAACCGCTTTAAAAACTGCATACAGCGTACCCATCGCGATCGCAGGACTTATAGTCGTAACAAATTTCGGCTCCGTGTTGCTTGAAAAGCATAGGCAAATGATAAACAGCGATCACTTTCATCTTCACTACCAAGCTTTCGAGAATCATCAAAACCAAATCGCGTGTCTGTAAGGAAAAATAACTTGTTTGACGACGCTTAACTTGATTGGACTTCAGGACTTTTACTGGAGAATATTATGAAAGAAATCCAACCGCTTCTCCTTCCTTGCCATGTTTAGACAATCCCTCCAGCACACTACTTAACATCCTTGCACAGATGACTTGAATCTAAGAAAAAGTCGATGGTAACGACTCAGAGAAACAATCAAGCAAAAACTAACCTGATACGGCAACAAATTGTCGTGCAGCTCACGACAGAACACAAAGGCAACACTACAAAACACTGATCACTTCAGTGCTGGGAAACTATTATGAAACAAGAGACACTCACTGTGCGAGCATATCGAACGACAGAGATGCTCTGACATGGTGGAGAAAATCTGCCATGGTTTGGTAAAAATATCCTCTGAAGATTTTAGGAATTACGAATACACAACAAAAATTTTAATGCCACAATAGTTGTGAACAACTTCCGATGGAATTGCTGAATAATATATTAAATCACTAGTCAATGTAATCACTTTTTCACTCACTATGTATTCTTTTCATTACAAGGCATGATGTGAAATATAACCACAGTGATACTGAAATATTTGCAGAGCTCCGAATCGCAGGCGCCTGCGTTGGGGATCAAACACGCTACCATCCTTTCCGGGGGCTAACATGTTCACCGCCAGACCATGCGGGTCCTTCATTTCGCCTTTCTCTCAACCGTGTTTTATAGGTGCTATCAGCAATAACCTAAGCAATACCTTAAGTGATCAACTGCCGTGTAGCCGGACCCAATCAAAGCAACTTCTGACAGAAGTCGAGGCAAAAGCTGAATGAATTTTGGACGTAAATCCGAAATGAAAAAGAACTTTAACGTAATCAGCACATCCCTGAAAAGTAAAACAACAACGGATCACATACCACGTTGAAAATTAAGATAAAGTTTGAGCAAACTCACTTTCTAACAACAATTAATTCTGCAGGACATTGTTCAAGGAGGGAAAGGACACCATTTACAAATCTATCGCCGTTGGCCAGTATTTGATCCATAAACTGAAGCGAAAATATTGATTTCCATATTTTTAACCAGGAAGGTGCAAGCTGTTACTTCTCGGATCTTCCCCATTATGCTTAGATAAGCCAACATTTTGGACTGAGCTGTGTAGAACTCATCCGCCAAGGCCTTATTGTATTTATCGTCTGCTTTCTGTTCGCTCAATATCTGTATGCTCAGAAAGTCAAGACAACACAGCAAAAACTCCATCGCCTGAAAACAGATCCATAGTTTGATCTTTCGGCGAACCGGAATAAACATCTAGAATAAAAACAAGGCTCAGAATAGTAAACCTTGATATAGAGGAAATAGCGTTCAAAAAGGACAGGAAATAGCGATACCACTAACACACACTTGTACACTTGAATGGATGGTCCTCACTGGTTGTGCGGGTACCAACATAATTTCCACTTTTTGTTGTTTTGTTAGTTTAGCTATTGTGGCTCCCTGGAGTCCTGAGGTGGGCTCAGCCAAAGCCTACCCCATGTCGTCACCACCACAGGAAGTCGCAGCCTTTGTGCATCGATAGAATTTCCACCATTCGACTAGTTTATTACAAGGACGGTGGTGGATCCTGGTATCGGTTTACTTATCTCGGCTTCCTGATGGAAACGCCCGACTTCTTCTCAGCTTAGGAGATCCTGCCGAGGTGGAGGATCAATGCCCTCGCTGTACATCGCAGCCCGACCTCCAGGAACACCTCCCAGCATGGGGCGGTAAACCATTAGGAGGAACACCACTAACTGATCCGCGAAACATATAAACCAAAATAAAACTCACCTCAGACTGAACACCGGCTTTGTGATGCTGGTACAAAAAAATAACAAGCATCGGTATATCTTGAAAAGCCTTAAGAGATTGGCTGGCGCGCGGTATGAGATTATACTGAAGAGAAGTGAATTTACAAGACACTGAACTAAGCAGAGTTAAGTTATACGTGAAAGAATGAACAAACCAGTGTATCCAATGTACCATTCGGAGAGTATAAAAGAGCGGGTTGCATGTAGTAGCACTGCTGAAGGTACTGCAAAACAAAACAACGAAACAGTCTCTAAAAGAAGCCCAAATTTTAAGCAAGCGAACCGCCTCTATCATGGCCTCTTCAGGCAGCTGAACAGTAGGACGTGTTAAATCAACGGTATCAAAGGTGTGTGGCCTTGACAAAGTAGTGCACATACATTTAATCCACTGTTTAAAGTGCTGAAGCATGACAGAGACCTAAAAAATCTATACTCATTTCATATTGCTGCATCCAAAACACAAACAAAAATTCAAAAAATTCTAAAACTTGGGAAAACAAACCTCAGGAATTAAGTGCGTCCGCGTGATTTTACTATGGTCCACCAAAATTTTCACTGCAAGAATTGCATTGTCTTCATTTTCCAGGACAATAATTCGCATCATTTGCTTCTGGATTTCTTTTGACATTTGTTTAACGGGTTCATATGAAGATGTCCTCAAAATCATCTCCAACATGGCTTTACGCAACATCTGAAAATCCAATGATTTCACATAAAATAAATAGAAGATAAAAGATAAAGCTCCTAGTGTTGATCAATCCTCAAAGGATGCACCTTGCATTCGACTTCATTAAGCAACGTTGGATGTGACTGAATGAATATCTGCCTTATGCAATGACTCGTTGTGTTCTACCGATGTATCGAGCCAGTGTTGTTGTACTGCCAGACAGGTCAGGCACCAATTTACCGATCTCAAAGGATGGAAATCTTGGTGAGCTTTGAGCGCGGGGATCAATCCCAAGTGTATTGCAGGGCGTCTCCGACTACAGCGCCAAACGCGCCCTCACATAAAATACTGGACTCGAATATGAATGGCTCCTAACTAGCGCTAATCGTTGACATCCAATAGTACTCCCCGGTCTTCAACTTTGCCGGACTCCCTGGTAGGCGAAAATAAGAATCTGTAGATATCTCTACATTTTGGACACTAGGTCATAGGAGGAACAAGGAAGGCAATAAAACCTACCTGAGTGTTGTTCTCAACTATGAATTGTGGAACTGTTTCACTAAATAGCTTCATAAATGCTCTTATGAGACTATCCAAAAACTGATCAAATGTCGGAGTCAAGCTAAAGGAATCGAATTTGAGCCAGGCATCCTGAAAATGAGAAGATCGCAACTAAGTGTCGTCCACGTGGCATCACATTCGCATACCTGCACAGCTTTCAATTTCACATCATCTCTCTGGTTGACGTCATTCAATGTTCGGATTAACGTCTCCTGATCACTAGGTAGTATTGGTTGAGGACCTATTTGTTGCGTAGAGACGTTGCCCTTCATAATCTGGGAAGTCATGGAGCCAAACAGGCTGGGATGTCTTGATTCGTGTCTCACTTTAACCTTAACGAATCAATGTTTACACGTCCAACAAAGTGAGGCCTTCAAAATACACTATAAAAGTTACGGTATTAGCAACTAGTTTGGTACAAAACACGGGAAAACTCTAACATGTTCTCCATGTACCCCAATAATTTGCTATGATGTTGGGTGGAGTTGTTCCTAAGTGTCAGACTATGACGTGTAGGTGAGATTTAGAGTCCCTTCTCTTTAAAGCGACTTGTTAGAGCATTAAACTGGCCATATCGAGACTTATAGGAAAGAGAACCTTACATGAGCCACGAAGATAAAGAAACAACAGGATAACCGATGATAAAAATACAATTCCCACAACCGACTTTCTATTAACCTCGACAATGACCAAATGGTTCCCGATATTCTTGCTGGGTAAACACGAAACATTCTATTCTTTATTCTGATAAAGTTGATGTTTCGGAGGATTTCGCCTTCTTGAGAGCCTGTAAAAGTCCAGCTGACTGCAATCTATACAGCCAAACACCCAAACACCTCCATAACCAAACAGAGAACATGCCAAATCAAGAGTTCTTTGGTTATGGAGGTGTATGGCTGGGTAGACTGCAGTCAACTTGACCTCTCCAGACTCTGAGAAAGACGAAATCCGCCGAAAAGTCAGCTTTACTGTAGTAAAGAATAAAGTAACACCTCGCGTTTACTCAACAAGAATATCGAGAATAAAAGTGTATTCCATCAAATCTATCGGTGACTGAGGAACACTAACTGCTTTCAGCAATAAGAGTGAAAGTAATAGAGCAGTATGGCCTGAAAACGAGAAGGGCCATTACCTGTAACATTTGCCTCCCAACGGTTTACCGCCCCATTTTGGCTGAGAGGTGTTCCTGGGAGTCAGGCTGCGATGGACAGCAGGGGAATTCATCACCTCTCCAGGGTCTCGCAAACTGAGGAGCCTGGCGTTTCCATCAGGAAGCCTATCTGAGAGTAAACCAATGCCAGGATCGACCATCGTCCTGGTATGAAACTGTCGTCTGGTGGCAAATCTTTCTGATGCAAAAGGCTGCGACTGCCTTTGGTGGTGACGATATAGAGCAGACATTGGCCAGGCTCACCTCGGGACTCCAGGGAACCACAATGCCTAAACCAGCAAAACTCCGAAAAAATGGGAATTATGCTGGAGTTAGAACAACCGGTGAGGACGGGCGATCCAAGTATTCAAGTAAGTACCATTTGTAGTTCAAATCGTCTTCTACTTCAAAGCTGTATCAGATCCAACGAATTGGAAAACTTAGTAATAAACTAATACAGTTTCAAAGTAAGGTTTCTGAAGTTGCTTAACTACAACTTAACTAACTTACCTAATTTAACTTCTCCAAACTAAACTTCTTTCTAACTAAGGTTTCAAATTAATAAAGTGACCTTTATGCCCTATCCAACTCGGAATTATGGATCCGATACCACTGTAAATTCCAAAAGCAGTGCCTCCATCGGATATTTTCTCTATGCTCTTCCTCATTACTTGTAAGAAAACTGGTACTCACTCAATAATAGTTACAATAGGTGGAACCGAAGCACTAGACGTACATTTTTTCTATCGGTTCGCTTACTATTCACTTACTGCCTATTATTACTTGTCACGGGAGAGAATGATGTGAAATTCAATCACTATGATGTTGAGCGAGTTGCAAAAACTTGGGCCACAGACCAGACCGAACCGCGATTACCCTTTCCGGGAGCTCACGAGTTACGCATGGCACCATTGAAGCCCTTGCTTTGCCTTCCCCTCAAGTTTTTCTACTTTAAGCTCAACTACCTACCTTAATCTCGTTGACAGGTGATTGATGACGGTAGGGTAGAAAAACTGGAAGTAGAAACTGTAGAACACAGAAAAAGTGGCTCAGCGGAAGGCAAATCAACGGTCTAAGTGGAGCTGTGCGTAATATGTGAGCCCTCGAAAACGGTAAACGTGGTTTGATCTGGCCTGAAGTCCAAAATTTCCAAATGTCTCAACGCCATGGTGTTTGCTTACTACTAGGAATTCCAATCTCCACATTCCAAAACAGTTCTCTCGTTTATATCTCACATGCTACCCACGTTTCTAAGTTATCAGTCAGCGTCGGGCAAATTCAACTCTGAGAATGTGAACTCTCTAAACTTTTTGGTCATGAAGCTCAACATCCTCCCAACGGTCCACCGCCTCATCGTGGCTGGGAGGTTTTCCTGGGTGTCGGACTGCGATGTACAGCAGGTGGATTCATCTTCCGGCAGTGTCTCCCAAGCTGAGGAGCCCGGCGTTTTTATCGGAAAGCCTAGCTAAGAGTAAACCAATACCAGGATCCGCTACCGTCTTGGTATCAAAGTCGCATGGTGGCAAATCTCCCTCTGATCCACAGGGGTTGCGACTGCCCGTGGTGGTAAAGAGTTAGGGTAAACTTTGGCCAGGCTGACCTCAGGATTCCAGGGACCACAATGGCTTAACCAGCAAATCTCTGAAAAGTGGAAATTCTGCTGGGACCCGCACAATCAGTGAGGACGTGCCATTCAAGTATCAAGTAAGTAAGAAGCTCAACATATCCTCGACGGCATGCGTTTTCGATATATGCCGAGAATTAAGAACTGGAGGACTTTCTGGGAGTTACAGTAAAAAATCCTGCTTCCTCAACTGTTTAGTCAAAGATGCAGCCCTTGACAAGAAAAAAGAAGGAAAAACACTTGCGTACCCCAGACACCTGTACTTCATCATAGCACTAGGGGTAAAGAGAAGTATATTCCAATAGTCTTTATATCAGTAAGTACAACATACTATGAAAAAAGTTTTCTTTAATTGAAAGGTCAAAATAAGCAACGTTCTATCTAAGAAGGTCCTAAACGATAAGGCTGCATAAAATGATTTAGTGCTTGATATAAACAAGCTATTCAAGCTGTTAACACATGGATACCATCCGGGGAACGAAATGACGTACGGAAACCATAAAAAGGAAGAAGAAGAAGCCAGATAATTTTAGCTAAGCCCGAATGATTAAGACTTCCATTTGCGAATATAATAAGAAATAAGGCCTCACACAACGACTTGGCTGGTAAACTAATCAAGCCAATTAAGCTTGAGCTAGTTAATTAATTACTCTGGGCTACCCAAGTTGCTATGTAGTTAATTAATTACTCTAGGCAACTCAAGTTGCTAACGGGGCGGATAGCGCAGTGGTAGTGAAGTCGATCATCACGAGCTGGCTGGAGCATGGTGGTAGTTCGATCCCGCTCCGAGCTAACCAAGCCTCTCATCCCCCCGCGACAGGAAACTGGTACCGGACTTGTCTGGGAAAAAAAATCGCTCTTTATCTCAGGACTCCAGGGAGAATAACTTGACCAGCACTCTACGACATCCAAGATGAAATGAAATCCCTCAAGCAGCAACCGAAGCCACATGTAAAAGTTGGAAGGCTTCCGTAGACGATGGATTCGCGGGAAGCAATCGAATGTGAGAAATGCTGGGATCCGCACGCTAGACATAGAGACGGGTCAGATAAAATTCAAGTCGTTAACACATGGTTATCATATCTGAGCGGCAATGTTGCACATGGAAACCATACAAAGATGGAAAACTGGAAACCATAGAACCAAGTACTGTAAGCATGAACATACAGAAAACCGCTCCACGCATGATGGATAACCAAAAGCAATTTGAACTGGATAAGAGGTGGCGCCGGTGGAGATGCGCGACAACTCGTCCATAGATCTCCCCTGTTATTCGAGGGACGTGGTAGAAGCCTTTAGCTATTGGAGAATCGTAGTAACGTGGGTAATACGTTTGTATGTATGGGTATTTGATGATTACGGTTATAATCCTGCTGGACGCATTACCCAACTACTTTTTTTGCAAGACCCATGTTTGGATCCGCAGTGCGGATCCCAGCCCTTGCATTCTATTCGTTTCTTCGCACACATCATCCACCAAGATCTTCGAACTTTTCAAGCGTGGGTTCTTCTGCAGCTTAAGAGTTTTCTTTTGTCTTCGTCACTAATGCCGTTAAATAGTGGTAGAGTCGATTTTCCCTGAAATCCTAAGATGGTCTGGCTAGGGTGCCGCTATTTGGATTGCAGGAGTCCGCTGTCATCAGAAAAGTCTGATTTCCTAATTCCCAGAAGAATGAGAGGTCTGGTAGACCTGGGGAGGAGTCGAACCAACACTCCGCTCGTGATGGACGATACCACTACTGCTGGTACACTACCAGCCCTTTTTGACGCCAGTAAACGAGTAACTGAAATCGAAATACTTCTTTTTTCCCCTAGGACACCGAATAATATGAGGTCGTGAAGGAAACACACGGATCAGGACTAAAAATATTTTTGTCCATAATATAACCACCACGAGAAGGTTAAGGACACTCTAACTGTTCCCCTAGCAACCCAGGCTCTTATCCCGCTTAAGAATCCTCAAGTTAGCAGTTGTTGTGCACCACTAGACGGAATTATCCATGACGTGTGCCACAAATGTACCGAAAGTCCTACCAAAACTGTACACTATAATCGAGACAAATGTTGGGACGAGTTTCACACCTTACTTTTCCCTGATCAGGAAAAACTCGTATGGCGCAAGTTATTACCATGGGTCATGCTTTTCCTAAATTTCTGTTATATTTCCATCGTCAGTATGAACCATGTCTTTATTCTATTTTGTGGAAATGTTTCTTTCTTCTCGTATGTCTTATGCTCCAGTTGGGATTACTGCTTTCTTCTAGCACCCTCAATCTAATCATGGTGTTTTTTTCAGTACCAATATGGGAGGGAGAATTAGCTCAGACACTGTGATCGCCGATAATGGACCGTTGAAGAAGTTTTCAGGGCCAGAATCGATCAGCGACAATGATCCTTTCTGGAACAAGCTGCTATCTTTCAATCTAAAGATAGATGATCACGATACGTAAGATACTAGCGCCTTCACATAGCTCCAGTTGTTCCGTTGTAATCTTAAATAAACCAATTTTTAGGGCACAACTGCATGATTTCGACGACTCATTAAACGACTTTTTGAATTCGTTAATGTATAATACTCAGACCAGTGGCAATTTTGCGGCCTTTATACGAGTATTTGTACGACTCTCAAAGGAACTAAAGACATCTGAAAAATTCGAGAAGTCAGTTTGACATCCAGTCTACTCTTTCATTCAGTGGAAAAATTTCAAACGTTCTTCCTGGACTATCAAAAACATTTCATTCCTATAAAGAACTTCGTTTTCAGTATAATTTTTCTCTGGCAAGCTTCGAATGCTTTGATTATTCTACGTTATATATGCAAGTTTCTGACGCAGCGAATGACCGAAAGTGAATTTGTCAGGACATTCGCGAGTTCGGTTTCGGCTGGCTCTTCTTCTGTGGGTTCTTCTAGAGATGAATGTGCGCACTTTTTCGTCTACTATTGACCATTTTTCAGATTTATTAAAGGTGTTAGAAGCTCTAGAAATGATAATGACAAGTTTTGTTTTCAGCAGAATCGGAGAACGATTTGGATTGTGAATGCCAGTATAGCAATACTGCTGAGAAACTTCTTGACACCTTAATTGATATTCTTGCTGAGCTACCAGTAAAGTGAGTGAACATTTACACTGCAAGTCTTTCTGTCCAATCATCAAAAAACTGGATTATTTAAGAGCAATAAGGAAAGAGAGAAGAGTTGCCAAACGTGCATTTAGGAAATTATGTAGACGAGATACTTACTTGGTTACTTGAGTGGCACGTCTTTACTGGTTGTGCGGGCACCACCATAATTTCCGTTGTTCCGGAGTTTTGCTGGTTTAATTATTGTGATTCCCTGAATTCCCGAGGTCAGCTTAACCAAAGTCTGCCCAGGTAGTCACCACCACGGACAGTCGCCGCCCTTATGGTTCAGAGCGAGATTTGCCACCATACCACTAGCTTGATACCAGAACAGTGGCGATTCCTGGTATTGGTTTAGTCTTGGTTGTGCTTCCTGATAGTAACGCCGGACTCAGCTTAGGAGACCCTGCTGAAGGAATGAATCTCCCCGCTGTACATCGCAGCCCGATACCTTGGAAGGGTAGACGAAATATGCTTCTTGAAAGTTATCTCTCATTTTATACAGTTTATTTTCACATAAAATTGGATTGTCGCTCTAACTACATTGATTATTGTCGCGGATATGTTAACACACAACGCCACTGAGGTTCTTAGCGTCCCTATTGCTTGGGGCGACGCCCTATTTTCGGCCTTTACACAATTGCTGGTTTTTTGACAATAAACGATAATTCTTCGATAACTAGAGGACTTTACTGGTTATGAACAGTGACAAGATTGTGCAAGATAATTTGGTTTCACTGTTAATATATTACTGCGGCCCATCATACAAACACATTGCTACCGTTTAAAAGTGTTTTGCAGCTAATGTTGAGTACATTTTGTATTTCCTATACATTTTCACTATATACGATAAATCCGAGAAATTCATTTCAGAGCAGGTTTTTGTATATTTCTAACTGTATAAAGCCGTTCCAGCTGACGGTCGATCAAAGACAAATAAACCATCAGTTGATTACAAAAAGTGTAGGAAAAGGATTTCATGCCTCAAAATAAACCGTTAGAAAGAAAATGGCCTCTACAGATTGAGGTGTCCCATTTGACTGTGTAGAATTCAGAATGTACAAGAGCTAGGTAAAGCAACATTTTCGAACTATTTAACTAGAAACGGAACGTCGAAAAAACGGAAGGCTGGATGCCATGTGAATTTAATAAGTGGCAAAAAGGTCGTTATTAAGGGATGAAGGATAAAGCTCTCGGATTTGGTTAATCCTTGAGAGATGCGCCGTGCATTCGACTTCATTAAGTAAGTAAGTATCGTTGGAGGTGATTGAATGCACATCTGACTTATACAATGACTCGCGATGGCTTATTGATAGATCGAGTTAGTGCAGCTATCATCATTCTAGACAAATCTGGTACCAATTTGCCGGCTCCGGAGGGATGGTTTGACGAGCCTAGGGCGCGGGATCGACCCCATATGTATTGCAAAGCGCCTCTAGCAGCTGCGGTACACGCTCCTTGTTATTCTTGTTATTATGAAGTCTATATTGCTCCTGCTTTGCACAGTACAGAGCACCCATCGTTTAATCACTTTGACGCGTGGTGAGTAGTGGATTTATAGGATAACCGACGACATTCTGCACATTACTAAACTAAGATGTGGTCCAAAACACTTTTCAAGACCAATTTCGCCTCAAGAAACATTATGTTAATTGTTTCACGAGCACCCAATAAAATAATATACCACAATTTCTTCAGTTCTGGGAAAAACTTTGCAATAGGCAAGAAGACATTATTCCGCGGGGTTGGTATGAATAGAGAGAAGCAGTTATGCAGTTATGTTGTACAACAGCTATATTCGTGCAACAAATACGAGTTGAATAGATATTAAACAGAGGTTTAGATTACAAGTGTAATAAAAGTTGCTTTTTGAGCAAAACTACCAGACCTTTCACAAGCCGGTTAACAATTTTCCTGGCAGTTTGAAAGTTCTTAGGTTTTAAAATCTAGAACTGTAGCATGATTAAGTGAAAACTCTCAATTATTGGCTGAGTTGTTTGCATTCGAAGTTAAAGGTTGAAAAAGAATTTGTTTTAAACATACTTTTAACATTAAGGATTAATAACCGCAATGATGCTGAGATATTTGCAAACCTCCGGACCGCAGGTGTCTGCTGTGGAGATCGAACACGGCATTACCCTACACTGTGGTTTGTACTACAGCTTTAGCTTAGTTACGTCCAATGCCGATTTATGTTTCCCAGATCAATTTCGTTGATGAGTGATTGCTGATAGCACCTATAGGTTAGAATATGGTTGAGGGAAGAGCGAAACGAATGATTCATGGTGTGGTGATGAACGTTTGTTAGCTGCTGGTAAAGGGTAATAGTGTGTTCGATCTCCACCACATATACCTGCGGTCCGGAGTTTTCCAAATATCTCAGGACCATTGTGGTTGTATTTTACGTAATGTCTTGCCATATAAAGACTAGGCAGCAGGTGAAAAAATGATTGCATTGAGGACTAATATTCTGTGTCAATTTCTATAACATTACTTGCTTGTATCTATAAATAATCATCGAAACGTTTGATTTCACTCTTTTTTTACAAACCGCTGTAAACACGTGACTTTCCATCCATATCGTCGTCTTTAGTTGATTTTCTGAAAAACTCAACTAAACTAGACCGTGTATCTCCTATTTGGTCCATAAATGAGAACACTGCTTATCTTTGTCATCATGTGAGATTGAAGTTTCACTCTTTTTTATTAAGTGAAAGTACTATGGCGATCCACGTTGAATGTGTTAAATGTCTCATCGTCATGCTTAGCTCGCAGTTATATAACGAAACAGTTGTAAACACCTCAGTAGTTTTCTCCTACTTCATTATCGGAGCTTGGTACGTTTCTCCTTTAATTTTATTAGATCTAGTTTTATCGCTGTAGTTTGAACCATGTCACTTTTTTCCAACATTACATGTCGAGATGTAAACATCTATTTAGTAGCAGGCGGGCTGCTGTTCTCACAAAGACATTACTTTATAATTATTTGGTTCATAACAATGAATATTATCAGCTGAAGAAAACCAATGAGGGAAGTATTGTTCTTCAAATAGCAGGTATACAATTTGAAATCGTTTCTTCTAGATTTATTCATATTTTCTGCTCGGAATAGTCTGTTCCTCTACAGCTTCATTCTGGTCACTTGTACAAGCAGCGACTAGTGAAGAAGAAGATCCTGGTACTGTTCAGGATTATCCGCTGACACTCGGTAGTTTAAGCATTCTTCTGTTACTAAACCTTGCTTGTCATCATCCAGCCAAGGGCTGTAATCCCTTTAAGGAAACATTAGCTCTGTTTCAGAACTCGCAAGGTAAAGTTTTTCTTGAAATGTTTATATATGTTTGTCAGAAGGGATCTTTTTAGAGGTTTCCAGTCTCGGTGCGGAAAAAGTCACTTTTAAACTAGATTATAACTCTTTGTATGAACGGCTTTGTGTCACTGCATGTCAAGAACCACCTATGCTTCTACTATATTTATTGCTACATCGTAATTCTGGCTTCAGGAACTTTGTATTGTCAAGGATAAATCTTGAGAATCTCGTGAGTTTTTTCTTCGTTTTTTTCGTTTGTTGTGAGAGAAACTGTTCGAGAAAAGTATTGTACCAAAAGTTTCGTAAAGCGGGAGGCCCATACTTATACGAATTGTTTATATCCACTTATGGTACTCCTTTACTTTCGGTGTTTTCTTTCATGCTTGTCACTTATAGAGCTCAGATTCGTTGTATGAATGTTGAGCTTAAGGCAACACCTCATTTGCTGATGCAGACCCTTCCTACAGTTGGCTTGCCAACTGGCCCACCGTGTTATTAGCTTTCTTCAAAGTGTTTATAGGTTGGTGAAGTGCTTTTGACATAAGGACTCCCACTGGGCCGTAACGATTTGACATTCTTTCTACGATCGCACTGCGATTTTCAGCTTAATTGTGTATTCATGTGATATCTAAAGGACTTTTAGCGCTTTGTGCTTGTTGTACATGGGACAGAGCGCGTCAGTGTGCTTTCGCAGAAACCTAGTAATTCACACCCTATGTTTTCCTTCTGGCTTACAGCTTGTTGCCCATGTTGTCTTTAATTGTTCTGCAGTTTCTTCTTATCCATTGCTTAATTGAATTCTTGAAAATTTGTTCTTCACTCATAATTGTGCTTCAAGAATATGAAATTGTCAAGGAAGGGTTCTTTTACCTGCCTTGTAAATAATTTTTAATGTTATTTATGCAAGAGAGAGACACATGTACCATAGTTGTTAGAGGCACCCTGCAACACACATGGGGTCCATCCCCGTACCCCAGGCTCACCAAATCGTCCCCATCCCTCCGGTTTCGGTAGATTAGTACCAGACTTGTCTGGTAATGTAGCAGAGTTAGCTTGACATATCATTAGGCTACCGCGAGTCATTATATAGGCCAAGTATGCTTTTATTCATCTCGAAGGATGCTTATTAAAGTGGAATGCACGACGCATCTCACATGTCGAGAGCTTTATCTTGTATGTAGGTGACAGTTTCTATTATGCTACATTGTCTTTGAAAATGACGGCGGCGTTCCTTGATCATACCAAAATCTGTCACTATCTGCTACCTACTTGGATGCTTGGATGGCACGTCTCCATTGGTGAAGCGGGCTCCAACACAATCCATTCGTTTCTTTCTCACGCAGTCATCATCTGTAGTACTTTCGAACACGGTGACGTCCGAAGTGACTATTCCGAGTTCGCAAAAGCTTTTCCATCTGTGATTACAGATGATTGACGTTAGTCAGGAATATGTCCACCTATTATTTGAGTGATCGTCTAAGAGAACGCTTGGATTCTCTTGCAGTTCCCTCTGTTGCTCTTCTTGTCTATCTGTTATCTGTTTTTCTTATCGTATGACTAACCCATCTGTGTTTCGCTATCAAAGTATATTCTCGTGTATACTGAAGATGGGATAGGCTCCGAAAATCTGCACTCTGCGTTCCGGCTAGATGTAAGTGGCGGGTATATTTCAGAAGGCATTGTTTAACCGCTGTGTGGGTGATCGGCGGGGTTCTTGATGTTTTTGGAATAAGGCCCGCATCGGTGCTGCATAGTAGAGTGCTGGGAGGACTGTTGAGTGGAAAAGGTGAGCGCGGAGTTAAGCGTCCGTTAATTGGTCGCTGGTTTCTTTGAGAGGCCCGGATGTTGCCCACGCTGCTGCTTCCTTTCTGTGCGATTCCCCTCCTATTTGCCACTCTTGTTATTAGCATTTTTCAAGTCATTTTTTTACACCATTCGAGGTTCAACGGGATCGAGAACTGATCAAAATTTGGGCCGTTTCTTCCCACATGTTACATGGTGGCATATTTTCTATTCCTCTTTTTTTCCACGAAGGGTGGAGAGTTTGTCGTAATGCACCATTAGTTACATGTTGAGATAACGAAAAAGCATCTTGAAGATACTTCACTTTATCGCCCATCATCCGAGAAGGAGTTTAAAAGTAAATACCGAAAATTGAACCGCGAATGGGCCAAAATGGCAAGGGCTACTGGTTTAAAGCCATCAGTTATCTCTCAACTAAAAATTGACTTACCATCATGTCCCGTTCTGTACTTACTTATAAAAACTCATAAGTTAGTCTCCAGCGATGATCTTGCGTCCTCTGATCCATCGTTATTTAAGCTTAGACCTATCATTAGCTGCGTAGACGGGCCAACGGATAAGATAACATGGTTTTTAACCTCATATTTACCCAGTTGTTGAAACACATTCCAGCCCATCTTACGAATACCCAGATGTTTCTGGATCGTCTACGTACTGCGCAGCCCAACAGCGCGTGCGTGATGGAGTCCTTCGACGTTACCGCCCTTTATACAAACGTGTCGAATGACTCCGCAATGCAAGCCATATTCGAACTCTTTATACAACACAAAGGAGAAATAAACATGTATGGCTTCAAGATAGAGCACTTGATGGCACTGTTGAAAGAATGCTTGAGCTAATCAAGCTTCAGATGGTTCGGAAAGTACTACGCTTAAATAAGAGTGTTGGCAATGGGACAACGACTGGTAGTTTCGAGTTGTTGAATGAACAGTCAGAGTATATCAAGTTTACCCGAGAGAAAACTGCCTTTCATTCCTGAACGTCCAGATTAACCTGTCAGAAAATGGCTACATTACGAAGTGATATCGAAAGCCAAGTAGTAAAAACATCTTGGTTCATTACCTCTCCTCTCACCCCTCTAAAACGGAAAGGACGCTTATAAGAAACATGTTTCGAACAGCAACCAACGTGTGAACTGGAAGAGAACAGTGAGAGGAGTCCCGGAACTTGGAGTGGCAAATAGTCATTTCTAATGGCTACGAAACTGTACCTCGGGATAGGTGTAGAGGAAATCCTAGGTCCCCAAACGACAACTCTAGCGGTGAAAACGTCCCGTTTATCCTACCCTTCATCTCAAATGATGTAAGTGCAGCTATAAAACGCTGCTTAAGAAGGGCGGGTCTAGAGAATTAGGTAAATGCCACCGAGTAATCTTAGGCGCAAGCTAGTTCGTAACCGACTGTATGACCGTCTATGTGCAACGCAAAATTGCATAATTTGCCCCAGTGGTAAAGACGGTGATTGCATGAGCTCGAGTATAGTTTATCTGATCTCTTGTAAGGCGTGCGGAAACGAATGCATTGGCCAAACGGGCAGACCCCTTTGTGTCCGCATGAAAGAGCACCTAGCCTGCAAAAATAGACCAAATACCCCGCTAGGCATACATAGGACCCCGAGACATAACGGGGAGGATTTTGAAGTACGTGTCACGATCCTCGCACAGGAATCGAAAACACAAGCGCGCAAAACTCTCGAGGCATTCTGGATTAATTCCGGAAATCCGAAAATGAACCGCAGAGAAGAATACCTCATTACCACGCGTGATATGGGGCAGTGTATAAGCCTGTTATTCTGATGGGAGAGGCACAATATACTTCCATGTGAATTCTGTGTGGTTGGTCTTCACGCGACATACTCAGTGGAAGCCTCATAGAAAACGGTGAGTGTGCAAAGCTGTGTTCGATGTGATTGAAATCTTGGTTTAGCTTTTTCTTTGTTTGGTTATGGAGGTGTTTGGCCGAATAGATTGCTGTCAACTTGACCCTTCCAGGCTCTTAGGAAGGCGAAATCCGCTGAAACGTCGGCTTATTCATGAATGAGGAATAAAAATAACACCTCGCGTTTGCTCAACAAGAATACGAAAAATCATTTTTTTCCTCGCTGCTGTTCATAAATCTTTTCCACCTACAAATACAGCTGTTATTAGTGATATGAGGGCCCCTTTCACTTTTCTTCTATGTGGAATCAGGTTTGTAGATGGGAGATTGGGTTAACAATGGTGCTACTAGGCTTCTTCCACTTCGGAGGTGAACAAGTGGGCTTACCTGTTGCTTCGACACCCAATAACACTCCTTAGCGTTTGCAAAGTTGTTGTTAACCACAGATATGAACTGACCGTTAAAAAGGAGCCTGATTAGATATTACTTTTCGGTTTTTCGTTTTCTGGAGCTATCGCAGTAATCAGCTAATGTGTATAAACGGCCACTGTAGTTCATTTTCTCGTCGTGGATGTAATACAACTTTGGAATGTTCTCTAAGTTGTTAAGTTGCTACGTGTAAATGTTGTTTACCTGCGGTTATAAATTCAATATCGTCCTTTTTCTTTGTTTTTGAGAAGGAAAAACTGCGTTGTTCCTACTTCAGTTTTTTTGTAGGTGTCAATATGGTTTTTGTTAATTGGTTCAGTCTCATATCATCTTTTTTTACATAGGTCTTGCCCGTGTTGAAAATTCTGCATGACGGCGTTGCCTCATTGTCTTCAAATTCGCATCACATGTATCTCGCTCTAATAGTGATGCTCATTCTTAGTGAAGACGATTTCTTCTGCAAAATTATTCACGAGACCGTGAGCTTTTATAATGTTAATGTTGCGCTGGTATTGTATCTATCCTACTGATCTTTCAGATGATGCATGATGTGAATTGGTTCGATAGTGACCGTCCTCTGAGAAAAATATCCCTCGGTGGTCTTTGTGTTATGGTTTTCGTGCGTACGGTTCATAAGAATGCAATTCGGATGAGAGTTAGTTAATTTTGTTTTTCTCAAACCTATTTCAATCCAGGCTACCATAAATTTGACTTCTTCGTACACCTAGATATTTGAGGCTTTCTAGGTAACAACTAATCAAAGTTTGTTTAGGATCGGTACTTACATACAAATTGCTTGGCTGCCCTTGCAAATATGTCGTCTTGCTTCAAAAACCTCTCACCTATCGTTTGTCAGAAATTAGTGTCTCTTCTGGAAGTTCGTTCATGAGTTTTTTGTTCCTCTTTAGGTTCCGGCATTATTTCGCATCTCATTGCAGTTGTTGACAAAACGCCATATCAAAATGGTAGAGCATATGCGGCAGGGTTCTGAACAGGAGCCACCGGACGGAAAGTCTCCGTGCTATGTGGGTTGTAACTAATTAATATTTGTTTGAAGGTCGCTGCTAAGCCGATTGTTAGGTGTTTTAAGGACGTTAATGAGGTCATGGTCATCTATCATTTCCATAATTTGAGTAGTGATTGTCATCAGCATTAGTACCTATGTCGAAAAGTATCCTTTACTCGTTAACCTTCAGCACGATGATGTTACTGCATTAGAAGAAGGAATTCGGACACTCTTGGAGATCATCAATAGCGCACTGTGCGGAAATCTCCGTAACAATCCTCACCTCATATACACGCTCTTGTATCATCGTAGTCTTTTCGATTCATATCAACATCATCCTATGTTTCAGGTTCGTGGTGACCCAGTTTAATGCTGGTGTGCAATTCTATTGCAATTTAGTGTAGGTTTCTTGGCATGAGCGTCACTGGGTGCGATTTTAGGATCTACTCAAGAACATAATGCTCGTCATATCACATTTTTCTTCGAAAGTAGTGCATGTGAAGGCTGGTGATGGTGCTGCTATGATGGAAGTGATTGAAAAAGAGGCAGTGGTTTTACCAACAGATCGGCTCACTAAATTTCCTGAGCTGCGATTTAGGTATTCAGCGTTGTGCTATTAGTGTTTTATTTGTTTTGATCTGATAACCAAGGTTTATTACCACATGGGATCTAAAGTCCTTGATCCATAGGCTAATGGCCAAATATTACGGTCTATAATATTTTAAAAAACCAATTTTGTTTAATCTTTTGAAATGTTGTAAAAATAGCGGTGTTGAACCTAGATCATATAGATGGCTTATTAGTTTTGCTTAACATCTTTTTCGGATAAAGGCTGATATTACAATATTTGCAGCTTTCTCTCGTATTTGTTTTTGCAGATAGGTATAAAAAATGGGAGATTTCTAATTGATCTGGGCTTGAAAAGCTTTTCAACGAAATTTTCAAGATTGTGCATAAAACCACGATGATGCTAAGATATTTTCGAAACTCTGAACCGCAGATGTCTGCGGTGATGATCGAATCCGTTATTACCCTTTCCAAGGGCTAACGTGTTCACCACCAAACCATGCTGTTTCGTCGTTTCGCCTTTATAGAAGACACCTGTGTTCCAAAGTTTTGCAAATGTTTCATTGCCATTGTGGTTATATTTCACAGCATACCCTACCTTGGAAAGGAATAGGTAGTAAGTAAAAAGGGACTACACTATGCACTAATCTTCTTTAATACTAGGATTCGTGCTTCAAAATTTTGCAAATAGGACGAAGATGTTCTCCATCTAACGAACACAGCTTTAACTGTTTACGAACTCTCCTTTTCTCTCGTGATTGTTCACTGATAAGGAGATATAGTTTATGCTATAAATAGCATCATATAGTTTTGTGGAGAGTTTTCTGTTGCTGCCCAACATTATGTTTCGGAAGAGTATAATGAAACACACTTTCTTTTAGCTTGAAAGTTCTTGTTTTCCTATGACCGCTTGTTGACATTCTAAAAAAGTTTTTAAATTTAGTTCAGAGTAGGTATTCTTAAACCGATTTTCTCCCACAAAATACTTATCAATATTCGTAGTTCCTTCTTTCCATTGGTCGTCATGAAGTTGGTACAAATTTTGGTGGTATTTCGTTCGTCGTTCCTTATCTATTGTGTCTCTTATGTTTAGGTACGTAGAAGACGAAAATACTGTGGATTTCTTTGTGCCCTACGTTTGGAGGTTGACAATACAGCATTCGAGAATAATATTTGATAGTGCAAGAGTGAAGTTATTTAACGCTCAAATGTTGACCACAAATATCTAGTGTCTTGGGAGTTTTACGCTAAGGATTTTTGGAGCTACTGCGGCTCCACCGAAGCATCTGTGATTAACTGCGTGTTTTAGATCTAGTTATCTATCCATATTATTTATATAATATTTTTTACATACTCATTTGAGCACTTATGGCTTTCCTTTTATGGTTTCTTTGTATAATGGGTATCGCTTCTTTTCACAAGTGTTAGTTTTATTTTTAGTGATTGGCTTATTGTCGAGATAAACTGCCATGGGACAGCAGTAGTATTCATGGTTTTATTTTAGAAGAATGAGTTCTTAGTAACTGTATTAGTTTTTTTCTCGGAAATGGGAAGTCATCTGGTTTTATTCGATGTGCTTCATTTATGGATTTTCGATATAAACATTCGACTTTGTCTGTGATAAGCTATGCGCTATGCGATTAGAGAGAGCCAAGTATTATGACGGCGTTCTTGAAATGTTACAAGTTGGCTCATGCACAACGTTGTTAATCGAGGTTATCATTAGCAAGGTGCAGATTTATTTACTACTCTATATTAAAGTTTTGAGGCCACAAATTCTTCGAAAGCGTACGGCCACTGGCGTGGTTTCCGAAGAGTTTCTGGGTAGGTGGCAGGTTGAGTGTGTCCAGTCGTTAAGCGGTACTCGTACCATGTACGGTCGAGCATTGTAATGAAAGAAAAACGTTGAACATTCTGTGTTGACCAGTGGCTTCACACGCTGTAGTTTTTGGTACAGTTTCTCGATTCTGAGACAGTATTTCTTACTCAAAACTGGCTAGCATTTAACCTCAGTATAGATAGTGGGAATTGTCTTAGATTGTTATGCTAACACGAGGTTGAATTATTAAATTAGCTCAAGCTTGTATAATTGAGTTATGTACCAGGTAGTAAAAAACCGACTTCTCCAGGATGCAATGCACTATGAAAGCAAATCAGCAGACCATGTTGTATGGCAATAAATTAACAAACGTCCTGCATAAAAGGGCAATGCCGAGTGGAGACACTATGCGAGTATTGCTCCACAGCATCAGATTCGACCAAGTGCGGCAACGGAAATCTTCGTCCCAAGAACGAACGGACAATCGATTTGAGTCAATTCGGCTTCGTGGAAAACGAAAGCGTTGAAACTTTAGCTGAATAATACTTCATGACAACCTCATGTTAGCTCAGTAATCCAAGACTATTGTCATCATGCCATTCTTTGTTGGCAAGTTTTCCGGTAACTGGGCAGGGATCTATGGGGTTTAGGACGTCACAGAGTTATGTTTGTGGCATTCCTTTTCTATATAACAGCGAAATGGTGCTACTTGCCACAGTATTATAGTCCATCCCAACCACACTGCTATCAGCATCTGGAAGCGGAAGTCCTTGTCGTTTCTGCTTCCGTACTTTTTACATCGGACCGTGTTGTATGGTAACCATATGACATATGGTTTATCATAGGCATACGAAGACAGTCAGTTCCCGTTCAAAAGTTGGCCTTTACACGCTTCACGTAAAGAGCGATGCTGTCTTTTCAATATTTCCATAGTTCTTCAATAGCTGGAGAACTTAAGCAGTTGACATAACAGACATATAAAGGACTTCGCTATCCTTAAGGATATACATACTGGAACATCGAACAGTATTTAACATAGACTGCATAGGTTGATGATGGAGATGTCGAGTACAACATGCATATGCTTTTCTTGAAGAGCAGACAAAAAGTTGTACATTCAAGACGAGTTACTAGATGGTAAACTTAGGCATAGCGAAGATTTTTTGAAATTGAGGTCAGTGTGTTCATACGGAAACATGATGATATCAGAGTGCAAAGTGGCTGAGGTTTCATTACGGCTTCCATAGCCGCCTGCACATGAGCGTATACCCGCAAGACTACACAATATAGATATGCAGCCTTATGTGCACCAGACTGTTTAGGAAGAAGAGGTGTCTTAAGGACTTCTTGGGAAGTGTAAAGCAGACTAGAAAAAATGTCTGAATTAAACCAAATGATCCGAACGATGCTCGAAGAAGTGACTTTTCATGACATTCTCGATTGTAGCAGTTTTTCAGAAAGTGCTAACAGTTTTTCAATAACCAGAATACTTGAGAAATTGAAAACAGTGGCTCATGAAAGAACATCGGTGTGTCACTCTAAAAATGATATAACGTGTTTGGAATCTTGTTCCATTAGTCAATATACTTACGAGTTTTTTGAGAGATCTAAGCGAGCTGGTTAATGCTATATTTGTTTCACTATGGATAACTTTAGGGTGCGTGTTGCGCAGGGTTGGAAGCGGTACTGCGACACACCACATGAAATCGATCCCAGCGCCCATGGCTCACCAAGCCTTCCATCGTTCCGGGGTTGGCAAATTGGTACCAGATTTGTCTGGGAGGATAGCAGCACTGGTTCGATACATTGGTAGGCTACCGCATGTCATTGTAAAGGCCAGATGTGCATCCAATCACTTCCAACCATACTTGATGAAGTCGAATTCACGGCGCATCCTTCAGGGATTGATCAACGTCAAGAGTTTTATCCTTTTTTATGGCTAAGTTATTTTCTATTCGAAACATTCGAAGCACGAGCTTTGATGAATGAAATAAGTTTTGTGGGATTCGAAAAAATCAGGTTTTAGAATAAAACAATTCCACTAAAACAAAAGAACATATATTATCGACAGCGTAACGATTATAACAGTTTTTATTTTAAATAAACGTCATATTAATCAAAAAGGCTACTCACCTTGCTATTACGCGTTGTTCACGTGGGCTCGCCAGCGAGATCCACCAGTTTTTATTTTAGTTTGTAACAAAAGGTGAAAAGTGAACTACTTATGGCTATGTATGAGTCGTATATGACTCGTTGGTTGTAGACTTGCAAATGACTCTCTGTTGTGGTTGAGATGTTAATTCTAATTTGAATCTACAATCTTTCTCTTTTATTTCAATAAATGCTTTCTAAGTATATTTTTGTTTTTGGTTTTGTCATAATTTAGATCGGAATCAGTGAATCTAAGATGGGGTGGGAGTGTAATGTGGCTTGCTGACTTTTACTTCCACATTGTGAACAAGAAAGAAGAAATAACGATTTTCTCTTTTGGTTTACATTGCATTGATAGAAGGTCCCGATCTATCAAGGTTTTTATTAATGTACACTTGAACAAACGTAGACTATTGATAATGTTGACAGCGCCTAAAGGAAGTACCGAGTGACGACTATATACTTGTTTCACTTCGTTTTCTTGAATGATTTCCTTAAGTACTCATTTACTGATTCAGAAGTGAAGTTACGCATCCCTACAATGAATATACTGCTGAACAAAGTTGATTAATAAAGTTCAAAGAATATTTATAATGGTAATGAAGTACATGAGAAAGTATTTACGAAGTTACCATATCACCTGTATCACCTGTAGCCTCGTTGATCATCGACTGACTCGAGCGGGCACCAGTAAATCTTCCATTTTTCTTTGTCGCGTGCAAGAGTAGTCCAACGGGTTCTGCTCGCTGTAGGGACTCGTGGGGCATCATATCTTTCTTCTAGGCTTTTCGTGAAGAACTCTGGCCATTGAGTCGGTTGTCTTCCTGGAGTGCGTTTAACATCTCGAGGAACCCAGTCACTAACGGCTCTAACAGCTATGAACGCGATACTTATGTTTGCTATGTACTTGCTCCGAATCGTTCAAACTAAGGAGGATGTATGAAGTGTTTCTATCACTCGCAAACATATTCTGAGAAAAACCAATGTATTCTGGTTGTTGTGGATCATTGTCCACTCGAAAAGGAAGTGTGAAATGTCGCACTACTTTCCTATAACGTTCACTTTATCTCCTTTTCTGGAGGAAACATGTGAATTTCCCTTTTTACTCACACAAAACTGAATTTCATCAGGATGTAGGAAGGAATAAATAATTGAGAAGTTCTGTGTTGTGGCTGCAGAAAAACGAGTATTAGTAGTTGTTAATTTATAGTGTATGCCAATAGAAAAAATTTCATGAGAGTCAAGGATGCTGCAGGTAGTTTTTCGCTTTCTACAAATGAATGCCAAGTGCGTAGGTGAGCTGTTCAATCATACACGTTCACTGTTCTCAAGGCCAATCAAGCTTCCCATCCATCAAATTGACAATAGACTTGTGCGAAAAGAACTTCCAACCACAAAAGCTGTCGACTTCTTGCGTTGAAGATCTTAAATCGGCTTAGAACGGATATCCTAGGATTTAAGAAAGAATCGACTCGACTGGCATTCGACGGTATTCATTAAGAAGACCAACAATCCTCAAGCAGCTGCCGAATTCTTTCGTGGATGATGGACACGTGGAAACGAATTGAACTCTGTACTAGGAGCTGCGCAATATGTGTTAGCCTGCTATGTAAATAAATTATTTTATGATTATTATTATATGATCCTACGTCACATATATCACACTGTGCGCATTCCAGCAATTCTTGCGTTTCTTTCCTCTCATCCATTATCCCCGATGGTCGTCGAACTTTTTTACGTGTGGCTCGGTGTTGCTTAAAGCTTTTTCGTCCTCTTTGCAAATGTCGCTGAATATTAGTCGAACCGGTGGTCCTCTCTGAAACACTAAAATAGCCGTGTTGGGGCACTCCCGCGTGGTTTGGAAGATGTCAGCTTATTCCAGACACCTTTATACTAATTTTCTGATCCCGCTGGGATGAGAGGCTAGGTGGGGCAGAGTCGGAGCAGCGCCCAGAGAGGTTGGGCTGCCTGCGTAATGAAAGGGATCACTTGTGCTGCGCTGCCTATTCCTTTATGCAGACTGATTCTTTAAGGTCTCGGCACTTCCATATATCGTTTTTATCTTTCTTGTGAAGAAACCCAATCTCCATAAAACCTTGGTGAAAATCGGTGTAAATGCAAGGTAGAGGTAAATACAGGTGTAAATGTGAACATAAGCTCTAAGCTTATGCTCTAAAAAACTCTCGGCGTCGACCAATCTCTAAGCGACGCGCCATACATTCGACTTCATTAAGTATCGTTGGAGGTGGTTGAATGCAT